TTGTTTTTCTTTGATGGGAACTTTTAAATTCCACTCTGTTAGCAAATATCAAATATGCAATCAAGTAATATCAAGGTTCCTTTATCAGTCATAAAATTAATAGTGGTCCATCCATCAGCAATAAGCAATGGAAAGTACAATATGACTGGAAGTAGACTTTCCTCTGCAAACTTGGATTGCTATGAATAAACATATATACACAGTAAACCAAGTGTCCACTAATGACGTAAGTGTTCACTGAACAGAGTTTTGAAGTCCTCATGAATTATTTTAATGAGGGCTTGATTGTACAGAAATATAGGGAAAGAAATGTTTTGCTATACTTGAAAAATTATAATTTTATTGATTTTCTTCTGTATTGAAGTGAGAGTTTTGTAACTCGTAGGATGGTCAATGACAGGCTCAAAAACAAGGTGAAGGTGTTTTTATTAGGCAGAATTATGTTGTCCTCAAGAGTTCTCTCTCCTGGCATCCATACATGACAGTCTCTAGGCCTGTGCATATGCTAAATATTGATCATCGGATTAGATTTTTTATATGGCACTGGCTAACTTTAAGAAATGGAGATTACTCAAGTGGGCATATCTAAACACATGAGCCTTTTGCCCTAACCAGTTTGGCTCAGTGGATAGAGCATCGGCCTGTGTACTGAAAGGTCCCGGGTTCGATTCCAGTCAAGGGCATGCACCTTGGTTGCGGGCACATCCCCAGTAGGAGGTGTGCAGAAGCCAGCTGATCAATGTTGCTCTCTCATCCATGTTTCTAACTCTCTATCCCTCTCTCTTCTTCTCTGTAAAAAATCAATAAAATATATTTTTTTAAAAATAAATTATAAAAACACATGAGCCTTTAAAAGCAGTTTTCTCTAGTTGGTAGCAGAGAGTCAGTCAAATATATTAGAAACAAGACCAGGATACAATTCACCATTGCTGTCTTGAAGATGGGGAGGAGTCCCCATGACCCTCCTAATGATATTTTATTAGTTTCAGGTTTACAACATCTGAATCTTGTTTTCAGCTCTTGTTTTCATCTTGTGTTAGGAACTCACCTGAAGAATTTTGACATAATAACTTGAGTATTTCTGTAAACTGTTAATAAGCACATGTTAGTTTGCTTTGCCATAATGGAAATAAAGAACCAATCATTCAGAAAAATGATGAATAGTAGTCTATAGAGCCCAGTCACTCACATGAATCTAAAATTTTAAAATGAGAAACATATGAACTATGTGTAGAAAAGAGGACTTATAGGCATCAATGTAAAAGAACAGGAATTAGGAAGGATATATGCTAAGACCTATTACCTGAAGCTTCTTTTGGAACACCTGGTTGTCATCCTTGAAGGAGTTCACCATGAAGATTGCTATGGCTTCCTTCTCACAGCCTGCATGCAGATCAAGCAGTTCCTGCAGAGTGTCTGTGGGGAAGCTCACTCTCTGGGCCATCTGCTGGCTGTAGTGGTCGGCTGCCTTCTGCATGGCTGCTGAATTCTCACGCTCAGCAAGAGTTATCACTGCATTTTCCAAACAAGGCACTGCTCCACTGTTGATGGCATCCACATAGGCCTTTGCCAAGGTCCCCAGCCCTGAATGAGACATGATATTTGAGGAATGGCAGGAAGTTCTTACTTCCTGTTTCACAAGCTTTAGAGATCAGCATTCTAAAAATAACAATTTTATTGAAATGAAGATTTCTGTTTTCTCTTTTTTTTCTTTACTTCCCATCTTCCACTTGTCCTCATTCTTGTCTCCTCCTCCTTTATATACTATACTAGAGGGGGGAGCCTCAGCCTGGCATGTGCTCTCTCACAGTTAGGGACCTCTCGCTCCTTATTGCCCACCTGCTTGCTGCTCCTTACTGCTTGGCTCCCTGCTCTTTAGTGCTACCATGGAGGCAGGAGAGCCTCCCGCCACCTCCGCTGTGCTCACCAGCCATGAGTCTGGCTTCTGGCTAAGCAGTACTCCCTCTGTGGGAGCTCACTGACCACTAGGGGGCAGCTTCTGCTTTGAGGTTCTGCTTCCTGGTGGTCAGTGTGCATCATAGTGACAGGTCTGTCTGCAGTTTGGTCGATTTGCATATTAGTCTTTTATTATATAGGATAAATCCACTTTCTTATAATAACATCATTGTATCTCCTATACACTCTCTCTTTTATGGTTCTCAAATTCATCTCATAATAATTTAAACTTAATGATTTCAACTAATATATTCAAGAGTTTCCTGGAACCATTTACCAATAGAAATACATTTTAAAACAGTTTATTTTACAGATAGGCAAAGTAGATAATTTTGTAAGCAAAATTTCCAATGAAAACTTGGGCCCATATAAAAAATCATCAAACATTTCAGGATGGTGACTAAAATATTAAATCAAGCATGGGTACATCTCAGCCCAGGACACTGTAGGTATGCTCTAATGGTTTATATTTATGAATCTAGCCCTATACACAAGACTATAGTTAAATCTTCTTCTCAAGCTCTAATAAACTTTCAGTGGCTTATGTTCTACTCCATATTTGTTCTAAATGGTGTAAATTCAAAAAAATATCTTCTGTATCCTTGCCAAGATACACTCATCTCATCGGTCTTGTCATCATCATGCAGATTCCTGTCCTTAACAGCAGCTTGTGCTTATGTCATTCATGTATTAGTTTCATGAAATACATTAAGCTTCAATAATCCCTCAGATAGGGAAACTTTAATGAAAAACATGTATATCTATGTGTGGCCTGAATCTCTGCTTTTCCATATCCCATAGAGCAGGAAACAGAACTACTGACAAACCCTGAGCACAGTCACAGCTTCATCACATGAAGAAAAATGCAGAAGGACATGCTGTAACAAAGGAGACTCACGATTTCCAGTGACAATGATTCCTTCTCTGAGGGTCTTGGTTTTTGCAGCTGTGAAGATATAGTTACAGAAATTTTTAGATTGAACCTGGAAACTGCACTCTAGTTGGTTTTCTGACACCCCCTCCATATGTTGTAATAAGTTTTTGTCATTTGTAGGACGTTCAAAAACAAAGCACTTTCGCTTGGGAAAGAACTTCCTGATATACTTTCTAGGCATGTTGGAATGCTGGATTTTGGGATTCTCGCCTGTAGGGAAAAAAATAAATAAAAAAGAGCAGTGACTGGTGAGACAGTCTTCAGGAAAGGGCATACATTTCTAGGGGTTTTTGGATCATTGTTTCTCTGCTATCATATATCCTTCTATTAAATCATGAAAATGAATGCAATGCTAATCTCCCCCAAACCGATTTATTTTTATTTTTGTGCAAAGCCAGTAATAAAAGAAATAATTCTGAGGAAGAAGAGGAGGCATGGAGGCATTCATAGCATCTGAAGAAAGTTGTGATTGTTTCCTTTAGACTTTCTATGGTGTCCAAAGTTTTGACTATTCTTTAGATATTTTTGAATGATACATCAACCCAAAATTGTCAGAAATACTTTTGATATTATAGTCCTCAAGTCAAAAATATAATGTGGGTTCTAAAGTCAGAGTCAAACATTTCCTGATAGATATATGGCAATTTATGATATTGCCAGGACAGACAATACTCAGAGCAGAAAGAAAAATTTCTAAAAATTAAAGTAACAAATAGAGACAATATAAATATATAAGCTTAATATAATGTCACCTAAAACCTCACCTATTCTTTATATCAGATTATATTGGACTTGACAATGTCACACTGAGTAATTCTGGGCATGTATCAGTTGTTCAACAAATGATTCTTGAATAAATAAATAAAATATTAAATAAGCAAAAATTGACATGCATCCAAGTACCCATTTTTCTCTCTGCTAAATCTATTTTGTGTAATGAATTTATTCTGTTCACATGATAATAGCCTATAGAATGAAGAGAGTGATGTTATAAGAGAGGGATAATGAATGATTTGACAGTCTTACTAGAAGAATATGTTAATTTGGGGGCCATTAAAATAGACAACATGAAATATATTTTAAAAATGAGTCATTTGATATCTGTTTGACCCCTGTCTTCCATAGTGATGGCATTTTTCTCCAAATAGAAGCAGAGGAGCTCTAAATTTAATCAGAACACAAGTATTTGAGCCCTATGACATCTTTTTTTTTTTTTTTGACTTTTTACAGAGAGGAAGGGAGAGGGATAGAATGTAAGAAACATCGATGAGAGAGAAACATCAATCAGCTGCCTCTTGCATGCCCCCTAGTGGGGATCGAGCCCGCAACCAAGATACATGCCCTCAATCAGAATTGAACCCGGGACCTTTCAGTCCAAGGCCTGACACAAAAATCCACTAAGCCAAACCGGTCAGGGCACCCTAGGACATCTTATCACTAGTTGCTATCCTCAAATTTTCATGGTGTCAATTTTCCTAAAATCTTTGATACAATGTTGGCTATTTCATTTCCTCAGCCAGTTTAAATTCTAGTCACTTGACTTTTTTCAGTATTACTAACAATTGAAACTATACCCAACCTGTCATGTTCATATCACCATTAGCATAGGCCTCAATGCAATAAAAAATAAAAACTGACCTTAAGAATTGTATCATAGGGTTCACTGATCACATCCTACATTGGGTTTCACTACAGGCAGAGTTGATCAACTTGGAGGCATTTACATGTTGCCATGTGTATTTACACCCCAGCGAGTCATCGCTGAAGGTCAGAGACCACCGTATAGAACTTTATATTACAGTCCTCTGGTCAGAAATATAATGTGAATTTGAAACAAAGAGTCAAATGTTACACCTCCACCACCCAGACCATTATCTGATACCTGGAACCAACTTCAAGGCATTCTCCAGGTACTCATCTTCAGTGATGGTGTGACCATCTAACTTTAGCTCTATCGTGAAATCTCGTACAACCCAAACAAAGTCTGGAAAGAAACTCACAAACTCGGCTGAGTCACCTACTTCACCAGAGCTGGGGGAGGATTTGGCCCTGATTAGCTTTGTTAGTTCAGTCACATAGCTGAGATCTTAGCTAAGGAATGAGAAATGTTTCCTGCCAAAATTTCCAGATCTTACCCAGGAATAATTTTTATGAACAGTCCCATTCACCCAGTGTCCCTTTCTCCTCAACCACAATTATTGACATGAGGAAAAAAGAATGAAAACAATAACAAAATAGTCTCAGTTACATTCCCATAGACTCCATGTCACATGGTGGTTCATTTCCTGGAAGGATACTGCAGCTGCTCCAGGGCCTGGTGGTTGATGTGGTTCATGCTGTTGTAGACAAACATGCTGCTCAGAAGCACGGCCAGGGCAAAGATCCATGAGTCATTTTTTGAGTCACCCTAGAAAATGCACAGAAGTGGACTTAGGTGTCTACAGTTCATTCTCCTGTTCAGTTGTTAATTCACTATGCCAGCTCTACTAAAACTGAACAGTAGGACAAATAACATAAACTGTGAAGATAGTGGTAAATTCAAACCTCATTTTGGGTATTCACATTGTCGCCTCTCATGGCTCGTGTTCTTTGGCAATTAAGAGAAGTGAATGACAATGTAAATGTGTGTAAAACATTTAAAAGAGTCTCAAGAACATAGAAGTATGCAATGAGAAGTGGGTAAGATTTATTTTCAACTTTCTCTTGACCATGAACTTATTAGTGACACAAATGCAAGTCAATTAAATTCACCAGCTTCTCATTGTGCATCTAAAAAATGCCAGACACTGCATTTAGTTTTGGGGATATAAAGTTTCATAGGGCAATCTCTATTCAGAGATGATTTCCTGGAGGCACAAATATACATGGTAACATGTAAATGCATCCAAGGTGATCAGCTCTGTCAGGAGTGCAAGCCAATGTTATAACATAAAAAGGAAAATGGGATACAACAAGAGGATGTAACCCTAATAAATATATATATACACACAATGAAGGAGCACCCAAATATATATTTTAAAAAAACCCTGGAAGATATCAAGGAAGAGATCAACAACAACACAATCATAGCAGGGGACTTTAATACCCCACTGACATCACTAGATAAATTCTCTAGACAAAAATTCAGCAAAGGAACAACAATCCTAAATGACTCGCTAGATCAGATGGATTTAATTAACATCTTCAGAACATTTCACCCCAAAGCCACAGAATATACATTCTTCTCAAGTGCACATGGTACATTTTCAAAGATAGACCACATATTGGGTCACAGGCAAAGTCTCTCCAAATTCAAGAAGATTGAAATCATATCAAGCATTTTCTCAGACCACAATGACATAATATTAGAAATAAACTACAATAAAAACAATGAAAAAATTCGAACACTTGAAAGCTGAAAGGTGATCAGCTTTACCAAGAGTACAAGCCAATGCTATAACATAAAAGGTAAATGTGATACAACAGTGATTGGGCTACCAAAGAGATCAAAGAAGAAATAAAAATCATTCTGGAAACAAATGACAATGAAAACACAACAATTCAAAATCTATGGGACACAATGAGAACAGTCCTGAGAGGGAAGTTTATAGCTCTACAGACCTATTAAAAAAAAAAAAATCAAGAAAAAAATGGTAGTAGTTCACACCTAACTCTGCAACTTTAAGAATTAGAAAGAGAGCAACAAGAAAAGCTCAGAATGAGCAGATGCAAGGAGATCATAAAGATCAGAGCAGAAATAAATGACATAGAGACCAAAATAACGATACAAAAGATCAATGAAACCAAGAGCTGGTTCTTTGAAAGGATAAACAAGATTGTTAAACCTCTAGCCAGACTCACCAAGAAGCAAAGAGAGAGAACCCAAATAAAAATAATCAGAAATGAAAGAGGTGAAATAACAACAGACCCCACAGAAATAAAAAGGATTGTTAAAAAATACTATGAACAAATCTATTCAAAAAAACTAGACAACCTGGAGAAAATGGACATATTCCTAGAAAAATACAAACTTCCAAAACTCAATCAGGAAGAATCTAAATATCTCAATAGGCTGATAACTATGGAAGATTGAAGCAGTCATCAAAAAGCTTCCAGCAAACAAAAGCCCATGGCCAGACAGCTTCACAGGGGAGTATTACCAAACAATTAAGAAAGAACTAAAACCTATATTCCTCAGACTATTCCAAAAAATTCACTTCCAAGCTCATTCTATGAAGCCAGCATTACCCTAATACCAAAACCAGATAAAGACAACACAATGAAAGAGAATTACAGGACAATATCCTTCATGAACATAGATGCCAAAATCCCCAACAAAATTTATCAAATTGGATCCAGTATTACATCAGAAATTACACCATGACCAAGTAGGATTTACCCCAGGGATGAAAGGATGGTACAATATCCACAAATCAATAAGTGTGATACACCACATGAACAAATTGAGAGACAAAAAATGACATAATCATATCAATTGATGCAGAAAAAGCATTTGACAAAATCCAACACCCTTTATTGATAAAAAAAAACCCTCAGAAAAATGGGAATAAAGGTTTCATTCCTCAACATAATAAAAGCCTTGTATGACAAAGCTACAGCCAACATAATACTCAATGGACTAAAACTAAAACCATGCCACTTAAGAACAGGAACGAGATAGGGATGCCCACTTTCACCATTCCTGTTGGACACAGTTCTGGAAGTCCGAGCCATAGCAAGTAGACAAGAAGAAGAAATAAAAGGCATCCAAATTGGAAAAGAAGACATAAAACTGTCATTATTCACAGATGACATAATGTTGTACATAGAAAACCCTAAGGACTCCATCAAAAAATTATTAGGCTTAATGAATGAATTTGGCAATGTAGCAGGATACAAAATTAACACCCAGAAATCTGTGGCATTTATATACACCAATAGTGAACATACAGAAATTGAGACTAAAAAAACAATCCCATTTACCATCGCACCAAAAAAATTAAGATATCTAGCAATAAACTTAACTGAGGAGGTAAAAGACCTCTACTGAGAAAACTACAGGACACTGAAAAAAGAAACAGAGGAAGACATAAACAGATGGAAGATCATACCGTGTTCATGGATTGGTAGATTCAACATAATTAAAATGTCCATACTACCCAAAGCAATCTATACATTCAATGCACTCCCCATTAAAATACCAACAGAGTTTTTCACAGACCTAGAATGAACTCTCCAAAAATTCATCTGGAATAAAAAAAGACCCTGAATAGCTGCAACAATCCTGAGAACAAACAACAAAGTAGGAGGGATTTCAATACCAGATATCAAGCTGTATTACAAAGCCACTATTCTCAAAACTGCCTGATACTGGCACAAGAACAGACATATAGATCAATGGAATAGATTAGAGAACCCAGAAATCTACCCAAACCACTATGCTCAATTAATATTTGACAAAGGAAGCAAGAGCATACAATGAAGTCAAGACAGTCTCTTCAATAAATGGTGTTGGGAAAATTGGACAGATAGATACAAAAAAATGAAACTAGACCATCAACTTACACCATACACAAAAATAAACTCAAAATGAATAAAGGACTTAAACATAAGACAGGAAACCATAAAAATAGTAGAGGAATCCACAGGCAGCAAAATCTCAGACATTTGCCTAAGCAATTTCTTCACTGATACAGCTCCTAGGGCAATGGAAACTAAAGAGAAAATAAACAAATGGGACTACATCAAAATAAAAAGCTTTTTCACAGCAAAAGAAACCATCAACAAAACAAGAAAGCCCACTGCATGGGAGAAAATATTTGCCAATGTTATCACCAATAAAAGTTTAATCTCCAATATTTACAGGGAACTCATAAAAATTAACAAAATAAAATAAAATAGGCAATGGACCTAAATAGATCGTTTTTGAAAGAAGACATAAGGAAGGCCAAGAGACATATGAAAACATGCTCAGAGTCACTAATCATCTGAGAGATGCAAATCAAAATGACAATGAGGTACCATCTCACACCTGTCAGAATGGCTATCATCAACAAATCAACAAAGGACAAGTACTGGTGAGGATGCGCAGAGAATAACCTTCGTGCACTGCTGGAGGGAATGCAGACTGGTGCAGCCACTGTGGAGAACAGTATCGAGTTTCCTTAAAAAGCTAAAAATGGAACTCCCATTTGACCCAGTGATCCCACTTCTAGGAATATATCCCAAGACACTAGAACCACCGATCAGAAAGGATATATGCACTCCTATGTTTATAGCAGCACAATTTACCATATCTAAGATTTGGAAACAGCCTAAGTGCCCATCAGCAGATGAGTGGATTAAAAACCTGTGATACATCTACACAATGGAATACTATGCTGTGGTAAAAAAGAAGGAATTCTTACCATTTGCAATAACATGGATGGAACTGGAGAGCATTATGCTAAATGAAATAAGCCAGTCAGAGAAAGATAAATATCACATGATCTCACTCATTAGTGGAATATAATGAACAACATAAACTGATGAACAAAAACAGATCCAGAGACAGAGAAGCATCGATCAGACAGTCAAACTTCAGAGGGAAAGTAGGGGAGGGTGGAGGTAAGGGACAGAGATCAACCAAAGGACTTGTATGCATGCATATAAGCCTAACCAATGGACACAGACACCAAGGAGGGTGAGGGCATGACTGGGGGAGTGGGTGGAGTAAAGGGGGGATAGGGATACATATATAGTACCTTAATCAATAAAAAAGTACATGAGATTAAAGAAACTCATGTTTAAAAGATATTTTATAATAATAATAAAAAAACTTATAAATTATATCTATAAAGGTTTTCACAAAGAAATTATTTTTTCCCAAAGCTGTATTTCTGGCATCATATTTAGGATTTAAAATGTATCTTCAAATGTGATCAACTGTGATTATGAAGAAAAAAAAGTGTTATGTATCTAATTAAACAGTCCAGGTTTTTAAAAAAAAAAAAAAAAAGCAAATGGGAATACAAAACCCAGAAAAATTACTTTGTGATTTCAGGGCAAGAAAGGATTATGTCTGAATGAGGTACAATCCTATTAGTTGAAAATAGTAGGGCTTTGCTTTAAAGAGTGGACAGAATGTGGGATTCTGGAGTAAAAAAGACCATGCTTGGGGAAGGATCTACAGAAGCCAATCAGAATTGTCAGAGAGTGTGTTAATACAAAGGTACTAAATGTTATTTATTTGATTGAAGCAGTGGTTATGTGTGAGGTAGGAATAAATGATGAGGCTGAACATAACACACTCAGGGTAAATCATGAGTGACTATGCAATAGAATTGGGTACTGCTAAAAACACTAGAGTTGTAAGGACAGCAAGTACTTCTGCTATCAGTTGACAGTTACATTTTGGCTCCTTTACAAATATAATTAGCTAAAAAGAAGATGGTTTATGTAAACTATAAGCTGTTAGCAATGAGTAAACCATCTTGGGCTTATACTGAGGTGATAATTGAGTACTTTAAACCTGAATTATGCTAAGTAAAATAAACAAGTCAGAGAAAGAAAAGTATAGTATGATTTTACTCATGTGTGAAATCTAATGAACGTAATGAACCAACAAGCAACATAGAGGCAGACTCATAGATAGAGAGCAGGCTGACAACTCTCTATCTATGGGGGGTGAATTTGGAGGCATTGAGAAAAAAGAAAAAAAGAAAGAATGATTTCATGTACAGGGCAACAGTGTGGTGATTGCTAGGGAGGAGTGGGAGAAGTTGGGGGAGAGAATAGGAGGGATAAATGTGATGGATAGAGACTTGACTTTGGGTGGTAAATACAATATAGTGTACAGATAATGTCCTGTAGAATTGTGCACCTGAAACCTATATAAATTTGTTAGCCAGTGTCAACCCAATAAATTCAATGAAAAATTAATATTAAAATTCAGAATATGTAAATTCTTGCCCTTACTCCTTTTTGGGTAATGGAAGCCAAAAATCCACAACTCTTACCTTTACTTCAAACTCTGGCTAATACAAATAAGAACACAAGATTGACTGCAGCTAACACAGCAAAGACAAAATACCTGAAATTATTGCATTTATAATGCCTTTGGTGGGTTTAGCGCATGAATTTATAGAAGTCAGGGAGGGATTCATCTCTAAAACCCAGTAACTTGGACTAAAACCTTTATCAACATGTATGGTGTAGCTGCAGTGTTTTTGTAGATTATTTAAATACTAGAAGCCATGTGCATGACATTCGTGCACTCAGGGTGTTCCTCAGCCCGGCCTGAGCCCTCTTGCAGTCCGGGAGCTGTCAGGAATGTCTGACTGATGGCTTAGGCCCATCCCGTGGGCTTAAGCCAGCAGTTGGACATCCTTTGCACTGTCAAGGGGGTTGGAGAGGCTCCTGCCACCTCTGCTGTGCTCACCAGCCATGAGCCCAGCTCAGGGCTTCTGGCTGAGTGGGACTCCCACTGTGGGAGGGCACTGACCACCAGGGGGAAGCTCCTGAATTGAGCATCTGCCCCCGGGTGGTCAGTAGGCATTATAGTGATTGGTGGTGCTGCAGTTCGGTCGATTTGCATATTAGCCTTTTATTATATAGGATAGGATGTTATTTTAATAAAACCCCATTTTTATGTTTCCTACCTTCAAGACCATCAACCTCAGGCACCTTAACTACTAGAGTGCCTTCTTCCCATAATTAGAGCTCCCTCCAGGATATTTTTCTTATCCTGAAGACTGCTTAAATATGCCAATCCTTGTATACCTGGTATCCTGTACTGATAACACTGCTTATTTCATATCTCCCAACTAGGCTCTGGGCCTTTTCCTCAATCATGCATATCTGTAGTACTTAAGACAATACCCTAGAATTTAGATGCCCAATAAGTATTTGTTATTTTGTAACTTTCAACCAAGTGTAAAAATAAGAAGATATATATCTAATAAGGAAAGTATTGAGTTTCCAAGAAAGTAAATTCAAGGAAACAAAATTTAAGCTCATTATTCTTAATTGGATTTGTAGTTTATAGAGATAGATCATAGAAGATGAATTAAGATGGCAAATTAAAATGTAAGTGGATCATCAAGATCAAAGAAGACTCTTTGCCTTACCTTTTCCACATCGCCCAGGCCCTCAGTGTCCAGAAGGACCAGAGTGTGGTTGGGCTTGGAGGGGTGAGGTACACACCACATCCAGATGCCCTTGGTTTCAGACCGCACTGTGGAGCCCAGGGGAAAACCTGCAAAGTTAGAGGAGAAAGCTATAGAGTAACAGCAGATAGTCCAGGCTGCCCATAGGTTACATTGGTTAAAGTTATCAGAATGTGAGTGCCAGGCTGGGAGGAAGGTTGTTTCAGTTTCAGCAAGGACAGCCTATCCAACCTTTATCCATGTTAAAGACCTTCTCAGGAAACACTCTGTGTTTCCTATTCACTCCATACTATGGCTCAGGCTATGTCACATTTCAGAATTACTGTAACCCCTATTGATCTTTATAGTCTTTTTTTTTTTTTTTTTTTTTACACTGAAGAGCTCCCTTATCCTTCAGATTCTGGTGGAGTTCTACCAGTGGGAGGTGCCAGCATGAGACTAGTGAACCACCCTGTCCCAGTGCTTCTGATAGTGGGTCACAACCATTTCATTTCACTCCACCCAAAAGTAATGGTCTTTGTCACATTCTGTTTTCCCTTTCTGCTTGGCTGTTCAGGCTATAGGAGTGACTACAATTCCCTGGCCATTACTATTGCCACCCTCTGGGTGCTTCCTCATCTCCTATTAGTTTTCTGTGACCTGCTTATGACCTTATATGTATCCCTCTAATGAACAAACACTCATAAGTTAGCCTTTGAGAGGTTCTTGTGTGTCCTGCCAGGATGTGGACTGATAATCAGCTTTGTTAGATTTTTTCCTTCCCTTTTCTTCCTGTATTTTTCTCATTTCTTCTCTCTTTGCAATGAAATGATGAGGGTTTTTTTTGTTTGTTTATTTGTTTGTTTGTTTTTCCCCTGCCTCAGGTGGGATTATAATGGAAGTGAAGGCAAAAAAATACCTGTGAAATGTGGTTGCTCCTCTTTCAAAAGTCTTAAAACTACAGCTGGGGAGCTTGGGAGGGGTATATCCAAGAACCTGTGTGATATATCTTGTCCAGCAGTTTAACATTTTTAACACCCACCATAGGCCAATGTTTCCTTCAGTGGAGACTAGAAATAGAAATGTTGGGATCTGTAGGAGAGGTTAGTTCAGCTTGGTTGCAGCCACTCAATTTTGAGGCTTGGGACTTTCTCAGCAATCTACTCAGCAATCTACTGAGGTCTCTACAGAGAGGGTATAAAGCCGGAAATGGTCTGCATTCTTCTACATCTTGATAGGATTTGGTTGTTTGCTAATTAATACAGAGTAATCTGAACTCCCAGTGCCTCCAGGGAGAAATGGTAGGTGTAATTGGAGATCATCATTCTCAGTTATGAGTTAAAAACCCTCAAAGAAAGTTATCAACAAGGGGAAAGTGTAGTGACCTGGTATTCCTCCAGGACCTTGATTGGGCACGAACCTTTTTTTAGTTTTTTTTTCTGTTGGGTGGTAGAATCACAATTTAGGTATTGTTGTTTATTAGATTATAGTTTACTTTCAACATTATTTTTTGTTAGTTTTAGTTGCACAGCGTAGTGGTTAGGCAATCACATACTTTGCAAAGTATTCGTACTGATATTTGAAAGACCCAGCTGGCACAGTACATAGTTCTTAAAATATTATAGACTATACGTAGGTGTGTTAAAGTATTTTAAGGTGTGGGACTTTCTCAGCCATGAGACATAACCTTGTTACCACCTGATGTTATTTTGAGTATACTTTAACTGATATCTCTCCCTTGGGGTTCTCAAAAAAGAACTTTTAATTAATTTAAGACAGACAAGGCAAAGTATTCTCCCCTGATCGGTGGTCTAGAATTTCTCTACAGGAAAGATGAAGAAAAAATGTTTTGTTGGAAGCAAATGGGAAAGATTATGAAGCAAAAAGGAGAAAGGAAGAAAGGAAGGAAAAGGAGAGAAGGAGAGAGACAGAAAGAGACTCAGTGAGAAGACAATTAGAGATATTGCTATTAATCATTGCAGTGCAGTGTATTGAGGTTTAACCCCTAATGGTGCTGAACTAATGAGACACAAAGAAAGACATTTTTTAAAAAATGGTGTGTGGTCTTCATAGAGAGAAATGAGTTACAGGACATAGGCAGATTGTTCTAAAAATCAGTAAGAACAAAAAAAGGCAACCCAATAGAAAAGAAAAATGACCTCAGGAAATAGGAAATAGAAAAAGAGAAAATTAATATGTGAAAAGATCCTCAAACTTATTTGTAATGAAGCAAATATATGCACATATAAAGTCATCAGATCATCAAATTTTAAAGTCTTTTACCAAAGTTTTGTGAGGATGTGGAGAATTATCAATTACTGCTAATAAATGTATACATTGCATATAAAGTTTAAAAAGCTGTTTGAGAGTATCTAGAAAGGCTGACAACATATATACTCTATAACCCAGCAATTTTATTTCTGGGTTTGTCACACAAGGTAGTACATGATCACCAGGATATATAAACAAGAAGATTCATATCAGCATCATTCATAAAAGTAAGAAACTAGAAACAAAACCATTGTTCATCAATAACAAATGGATAAATAAATGATGGTATCTTCTCACAATAGAATACTATAAAGTAGTGAAAATAAATAAATTATAGATACATATCACAAACTAGCTAAAACTTAAACTTTTTGTTGAGCAAAAGAAGCAAGACTCCAAAGAATGCCTGAATGGATTACCCATTTTATAATATTTAAGCTATTCTTACAAATGCATACACAGCTTGTAAAACCATTTTTAAAAAGGAAGAGTGAAAGCATGCAGCATAAAAATCAAAACATTGGTGAGCTCTAGTGAGGTGTCAGAGGGCATATCTAGGGCTTTTGGGTGCTGGTGATGTTTTGTTTTTTGATATGGACAGTGATTACACAGAGGATCACTTTATGTTTATTAACTTTGTATATGTGCATGTTTTGTGCACTCTGCTGTGGTATAGTTCACATATTGAAAGACTCAATAAAGAAAAGAGGGTATAATTTAGTAAAGTTTTACTCAGAAATGAAGCAAAAAATTGGTTGGTAGACCCATTGAGCTATGGGATATATAGAATATTCTTGTTGTCCATTTTTCTTTCCATCCCTTTTTAAAAACAGGACATGTTGAGCAATATTTGTGTAATAGTTGCAAAGGCCCTGAAGTTTAAGGCAAAAGTGATGGGAGAGAAAGGAAGGGAGTAATTGCTGGAGTCAAGCTCCTCAGCAGAAAGAGTGAATGGGTGCAATATTAATGGGTGGATCTTTGGGTAGAGTGGGGAACCCCTTGTTACTGGCTCAAAGAGTGAGGTTTTGTGGAATAATGGGGTTTAAGATATCTATTTGGTGGTGACAGTTAAAACTTTTTTTCAATGGAAGCAGTGGTGTTCCTTTTAAGATGACTATGAAGGAGGTATGATCAGTCTGTGTTACCACTGTCTCCAAGCAAATGGCCCCACCCCAGAACACTCACCATGGTTCTGTCCTGCCAGGCGGTTCATCAGGTAGGATTTTCCTGTCCGATACACACCTGAGATGGCCACCACCACCACAGGCTGAGACATCTTGTCTAGAATCTCCAGTGCTGTTGGATTTACAGTCAGCTGATTATTCTGATTGTCCACCAGACAGATGGGGTCCATCATGGTGTATCCAGAGGCCATGGTGAGCTGTAACCCAGAGGAACAAGTCAGCACAACACAAGATCCAGAAGTCATATCTAATGGTTACACAAGTCACATGATTGTCAGCTTTTTGTGTGTAGAACAGACTCCCACATTTTGTATGTTTCTATAAGTATTTAGCCTAGTGTGTCAAGGCCTGGTATAGATTCCTTATATATATTATCATATTGATCTCTAAATAAACCTTAATACAATCTTGCCCATGTGATGCATAAAAGAAATAGAATGAGCAAAACAAAACACTAATGATGGAGCTTTGGAAACATTAACATATTGGGGGTAAGTAGAGGCAGAATGGGACATGCAGGAGATGAGGCATGACCAGAGAAGATACGTGGAGTTCCAGAGTCCAGAGTGATTTGGTTTCTGTTAACTGCATATGTTTTCTGAGCACCTACCATGTGCCGGGCACTCTTCTAAGTGCTCAGTATCAAGTAGTGAACAAAATGGATACCAATTCCTGCCTCATGGAGCTCTATTCTATTGGGAAGAGATAGACAATACAGAAAACAAATAAGCAGCATGCATAGTATATGTATATTAGATGATGGAAAGTGCTCAGGAGAAAACAAGCAGAAACTGAGATAGGGAGCATGGGGGCTGAATTTATATAGAGGATGGTCAGGAAAGGCCTCTCAGAAAAAGAGAAATAAATGTGCTCTGTGACCTTGAGGAGGACAAATGTAGTGAATCCTGGGAGCTGTAGCAGTTGGAGGAGGGAAAACTTTGAGAGGAAGAAGAAGACAAAGAATGAGGCTCCCTCTCAAAACACCACACTTCAGACCTTTATAGGACCCAGGGACAGTTATGAATGCAGTTCATTTATTTAAACTAGAGTAAAAGAATATTTTTTGTTTGTTGTCTGACAGGGAAGAGAGGCTGTAGCCAGGGCATTTTAGGGTGGGCCATTGCTGCCAGAGTCCCACACTTGGGAGAGGACCTACTTTACTGTTTCCATCACAGTGGGTGTTTCATGCAATTAAGGGACAGGAAGCAAAGTGCTTTAACTGTACCTTCACTTTCTCAAAGACAATCCTAACAAACATTCATGTGCTCCCATGCTCTCCTAGCTCTGTGCATTGGAAAGAGTAATTTCTGTGCCTTAGTTTGTTCTTCCATAATATGACAATACTAAAAATAACCATCTCACTCATACAACTTAACAAAAGGAAGATAAACAATCCAATCAAAATAGGCAAAGGACCTAAACACTTTTCGAAAGAGGACATACAGAAGGCCATGAGACATATGAAAACATGCTCAAAGTCAGTAATTCATCTGAGAGATGCAAACCTAAACAACAATGTGGTTCCATCTCACACCTGTCAGAATGGCTATCATCAACAAACGACAAGGGCTGACAAAGAAGAGGGCATAGAGGTTAAGTTCTAAACAAAGGTGAACAGTGACATCTCTTTATCTAGTTGTGAGCGCATGGAGGACACATCCTATGAGTAGGACTCCAGCAAGACAGGAGCAGCAGTAACAGCTGGGAGGGAGGACACTGAGGGGGGATTGAGTCCTGTGGGAGAACCCTAGCAGTCCTGGGATGTCGGAGCACAGATTCTGGAGTGGCAACCAGGCTTCAAATCACGTTCCTGTCAATGAGACCTTGGAAAAAGAACTTACCTCTGTGAGCCTCCATTTTTGTATCTGTGTGATAGATAAAGCAAGAATTTCTGCCTAACAGACTTTTCCAGGATTAATGTAGTGTTTAACAATGAGCAAGTTAGGCAATGTGTTGAAATGTGCTAATATGTTCAGTAAGCTGCAAATTGCCAAGATATAAAAATGTATCTAAATAATATGAATTTGTTTAACAGTCTTCCTCTGTACCATTTCTCTGCTTTTCAATAGGTGATTGGGAGCAGTTATGTGGTAAATCATGAGCCTTTTATTGCCTTGTTATAAGCAGGAGGAATTGCAGAGTTTATTTCTTGGACTGAATATTTAATATCTTTGAATAGGAATAGTTGTGTTTACCAAAAAAATTTACTTTTAAATGCCAGTGTACTGAGATACCCAAACCCAGAAGCTATTAACTCCAAATAAAGAATTTGAATGAAAAAGTTCTATTAGATGGAGTCAGGTGATCCCAGGTTTCCAAAGTTTTCTGTTCAGGAGAGATCTGAAAGGATGGTTAAAAGGTATTAACCATCCTGCAATACCTGTCTTCTAAGCAATCATCACAGGTTATTCTGATTCAGTTCTTAGGTATCAGTAGCTTTGGCTCCATGAGGAGATCAGGATTTGGTCCTGGGAGGACTTTAGCCCCTTTCTGCAGATGAGGCTGGATGCGCTTCCTTTCCCGTGTAGGGACCTCCCTGCAGCCCTGGGTGGGTGCCAGGGGAGCGTGCACCCAGGACACACTGTGCGCACCTGCCTTTTCCTGTCTGGCAGCCACTTAGATCCAAATGGAGTCGCTGAGCTGCCCACAGCAAAACCCCTGCGGGCCTCACGCCACCTGGCCCTGTGCCATCTGCCTTTCCCCTGCCAGTGCCCCGCCTTGGCTTCCGCATTTGTTGCTGTTAAACAAGTGGCTGGAAGACAAATTACTGAACTCACCGGGCGTGGTTGCTGCCTGCAGCTACACACCAGTTCTCTGCCCTCCAGATACTGACTGTTCTCTTTAGAAGCAAAACATCAAGAGAGATATTATAGTCAAAAGGCTTGTGGTGAGGATGTGGGGAAGCAAAATCGAAAGGACACCATTTCTTTTTTTCTTTTCTTTCTTTCTTTTCTTTTTTAGTTTGTTTTGTTTTAAAATTTAAATTCTTTATTGTTCCAAGTATCACAGATGTCTCCCTTCCCCCCATTGACCTCTTCCCAGAAAGGACACACTTCTTTCTGGTAATTCCACTGTTAGGTTTTCATGCCACCTCCCACTCCCACCCACAAGGCAAGGAACTGGTCCTGGTGGGAGGAAAGTGTGCGTTGTTCTACAGGGGCTTGGGATTCCCAAGCTGATCCTTCCTCCTCACTCCCTTGTGCTCCTTCCCCTGACCCCACAGTGAACACAGAGCCCCAGGTCCAATGTGAACCAATAACAGCAGGCTGGCTGAGGTCTACAGCCTGCCTCTCAGGGACACTTTTTTCTTTTTCCTTTCCTTTTCCTTTTTTCTCTTTTCTTTTCCATCACCATTTATCACCTCTATGACCTCTTCCACCTCCACCCATCCCTCTCCACACCTCCCCCAATCGTCACACTCTTGTCCATGTCCATGAGTTCTCTTTCATTCTTTTTCTGTTTTGCTCAATCCCTCCAGCACCACCCCCCCCCATCCCCCCCCCCCCCCCCCCCCCCGCTTTCGGAGAGGAAAAGTGGTTTGCTTATTTTTATTTTATTTTTTTAACTTGTTCTTTTCTCTTTTTCAAATATAGATTTGCCTTCAACAGTGATTTTTTTCATTATCAATATAAATTCTAGCGTGTATGTATGTGTGTTTGTGTATGTGTGTGTAAAATGCCTAATTTTATAGTCCACTCATATTTACAATTATTTTGTTGCTTAAACTTGCAGGGGGTTTTTTGTTTGTTTTTTGTCTTTGTTTCTACTAGGGTACCCAGATTTGGTGGGGGTAGAGAGTATCAAATACAACTTGATGGTATCTTTCAAGTCAAATAATTGAAAAATATGAAGTAAAGAATGCATATTTAAAATGAGCGAAAACACATAACCAATATTTTTAAAAAGCTAACAAATACTGCAAACATTTTCTCTCATCAGTTTGTGTCCTTCTTCTGTTAAGCTACTCTATCATATTTGAATTTAAGTGTGTGCCAGAATGCTGGCACATATATTTTAGTTGTATATCAGGGAAATTTTAATTCACTTCTAAAAAATGCAATCCATTGTATTGAACTATGTGTGGAAGAAAGGGGCTATGTGCTAACATGACTAGCTCAGGGAAGGCCTTGCATGACTGCCTTGCAAACTCAGAGACCTAAAGTAACCATAAAGGATGATCTGAATTTAAAATTTTTTAAACTAAAAGCCGTTTATGGCAGGTAGTCATCTTCTTGGCCGGTATCTTCCCAGACAAAGGTCAGTGTTTACCTTATTTGAGCCTGTATATTGTCTTTTTTCCCTTCTGTTTTCTGATATCTCTTTGTTTCCATTTTCTGTATTTTTATTTATTGTCTAAAGTTTTACATATGTCTCCTTTTTCCTCAATTGATCCCCCACCCCAGTCATTCCCACCCTGGGCAAGCCTCCACCACCCTACTGTCTGTGTCCATTGGTTATGCTAATTTGCATGCATACAGGTCCTTTGGTTGCTCTCTAACCTCTCCCTCCCTTGCCATTTGTCTCTGGATCTATTCTTCTTCATCAAATTATGTTGATCATTATATCCCACATATGAGTGAGATCATGTGATATTTATCTTTCTCTGACTGGCTTATTTCGCTTAGCATGATGCTTTCCAGTTCTATCCATGCTGTTGCAAATGGTAAAAGTTCCGTTTTATTTTGTTGTGTTTTTTTTTTGTTGTTGTTGTTGTTTTTACAGCATCATAGTACTTCATTGTGCAGATGTACCACAGTTTTCTAATCCACTCATCTGCTGATGGCCATTTAGGCTGTTTCCAAATCTTAGCTATTGTAAATTGTGCTGCTATGAACACAGGGCTACATATATCCTTCCTGATTAGTGTTTCTGGTTTCTTGGGATATAGTCCTAGAAATGGGGTTACTGGGACAATGGGAGTTCCATTTTTAGTTTTTTGAGGAAACTCCATACTGTCTTTCATAGTGACTGCACCAGTCTGCATTCCCACCAGCAGTGCACGAGAGTTCCTTTTTTTCCACATCCTCACCAGCACTTGTCATTTGTTGATTTGTTGATGATATCGATTCTGACAGGTGTGAAATGGTAACACGTTGTTTTAATTTGCATCTCTCAGATGATTAGTGACTTTGAGCATGTTTTCACATGTCTCATGGCCTTCTGTATGTCCTCTTTTGAAAAGTGTCTATTT